CAATACTGAGGCCCTCACACCCGGAAATGTGGCCCACGATTTTTTTTAAATGGCGTCAGTTTACAAGAGCCCTGATGAAGGTGAGGTGAACCCTGTGCCGTTTAAATCTTGTGTAGTACTCCATCTCGTCATATGACGTGATGCACAATTTATTGCAAGTTACTCAACCCTGCGTATGACGTGTTGCACGGTTTTAACACTATCGCTCACACGACACGCGCGCGGTCAACTTAGAGGTCATGGACCCAACGTGCGGGCGAGTGTGCGGGCAAGCGCGCGGTGACGACTAAATGTGTATACTCGTTTCAGCTTTCTCACCTTAATTCTCATGCTACGTCGTTCGTTTTGGTGTCATTGTGTTCGCAATTAAATTCCCTACATGTGTGTATGAATATAATGTCCAAAAGCCTAGCGTGACTTCCAACAGCAAAGCCTAAAGTCGGCAAAAGTTACCCGTGAGCGCACAAAATCAGTAAAATGTGTATACTCGTTTAATTTTTCTCACCTTAATTCTCGTGCTACGTCGCTCATTTTGGTATCATTGTGTTCGCAATTAAATTCCCTACAGATGTGTATGAATATAATGTACAAAAATCCTGGAGTGCCTCCCCACAGAAAAGCCTAAAGTTACCCGTGAACGAGCACCAATTTGTACACTTCAACCTAATGTGTATACTCGTTCAGTTTGATAACATAAATTTTCGTGTTACGTCTTTCATTTTGGTATCAAATTGTTCGCAATAAAAAGGCGCACATTATAAAACTAGTCCCATAATAATAGAGTAATAACTGTAATTTTAACAAATATTTTAATTCTGGAAGCTCATCATCACAAAATTATTTATCTTTCCAGTGTTCTGACATAAATTTTTGTGTTACATCTTTCATTTTGGTATCAAATTGTTTGCAACGTAAAGGCGTGCATTTTAAAACTAGTCCCAACATAATAGGACAATAAATAGAATTTTACCAAATATTTTAATATTTTGACCAAAAGCCTATTTATAATCTTTCAAGTGTTTGGACATCAAATTTCATGTTATATCTTTCATTTTGGTATCAAATTGTGCGCATTCTAAAGGCGCTTATTTTGATACTATCCCGAGGTCGATTGGATAAAAAATGAATTTTATACAAATACTTTTGTAGTGGACAAAAATCAGGTCCAAAGTTTGGATTCAAGAGAAAAAAATTGGACGAAAGTCAGGTTCAAAGTTTGCGATACTGTTAAGGGTTAACAGTGATAAATTCCAGGTACTCAAGTACGGCAAAAATGAGGATCTGAAACATAATACAGTATAGGGTACAAAACACAATCAAATCTGCCCATAGTAGGAAAACAGCATGTTAAGGATTTGGGAATAATGATGTCCAACGACGTAACATTTAGGGAGCATAACCAAGCAAGTATTGCGTCAGCCAGAAAAACGATAGGATGGATTACGAGAACTTTCAAATCCAAGGATTCCATCACAATGGTTGTACTTTTCAAATCACTTGTACTCTCCCATCTTGAGTACTGCTTGGTACTCACTTCCTCCTTCAGAGCAAGAGAGATTGCTGAAATAGAGGGAATACAAAGAACATATACGGCACGCATAGACGCGATAAAGCACCTCAATTATTGGGATTGTCTCAAAGCTCTCCAAATGTACTCACTAGAAAGGAGACGAGAGAGATACCAAATAATATACACATGGAAGATACTGTTGGGGAATGTCCCAAATCTGCACAATAAAATAACTGGAGTTCACTCACGTACTGGAGTGAACGATAAGGAAAAAAATGCAGAATAGAACCAATGAAGAGCAGAGGTGCCATAGGCACAATCAGAGAACACTGTGAACATCAGAGCTCCGTGATTGTTCAACGTCCTCCCAGCGATTATAAGAAATATTGCCGGAACAACCGTGAACATCTTCAAGAGAAAGCTAGATTTTCTAAAAAAAGTGCTGGACCAACCGGACTGTGGTGGTTATGTGGGCCTGCAGGCAGCTCCAAGCAACAGCCTGGTGGACCAAGCTCTCACAAGTCAAGCCTGGTCTTGGGCCGGGCTTGGGGAGTATTAGAACTCCCAGAACCCCCATCAAGCAGGTATCAAGCAAGCAGGTGTCGTTCAAATTTTTGCTGCGCTCATGGTTGTGTTTGTCAATATGTCTTGGACTGATCTTTGGGTGTGGAGGTTTTGACAGGTGAATGGGGTTCTGGCAGCCATGTAACTTGTCAATGTTACCTCCGTATCGTTGGCCTTTTGTGGCTTAGGGTTGTTTGTCACAGTTTGTTTGTTTTCTTCATTAGGATACCTGTGGTGCTCTTTTCCTGATAGGTCCCCTTTTTTTTCTCTGAGGGTAGGTGGCTTCCGGGAGTCACAAGGAGGTTCCCTCCCCCCTCGAAAACCAGCCTTGAATGTAATGAAACGCCATTTCTTGGCAAGCCCCGGTGCCTCCCTGACACCCTCCCTTTCCCAGGGAGTCATGGCTGGCTTTTCCCATCATCACAAAACTGGAGCAGCCGACTGACCTGGTGCCTTTCCTCCCCCCAAACAAGGGGAAAACTGGGGCAAACGAGCTATCGCTAGTTTCGTGAATTTTCTATCATTTACATTTTTTGGGGAGTCCTTTTAGTGATTTTGATGTTTTAATATTTTTTTATCACCATCAATAGTCTGCTTTATTTCGCTGACTTTGTGGGTGCTTCCCCAGTGGTGGCGGACATGATTAAAATTCCTGACAATTTTATCATACTACCACTGCACCTCACTAGAGGGGGTAGCCAGGTTCTGGCTTGTGGTCCCCAATAGACCTGAAAGAACTCTGCAACTGATAGCACCTAGTAGTTGGCACTATATAAATGAATTGTAGCTGTGAGAGTATGGTTTCTCAAGATTCTCTCACAGCTGACTTGAATGGCTCATTGCAGTGCACAGTGCACCGATCTTCGTGTACAAGCCCTATCTCTGTTAATCCTGGATAGTGAACTGGCACGTTGGGTATCTACAGAATGCCCACTTAACCAGGAACACGTTTATAATATGGAGGCCGCCGTATGTCCAGGCAGGAAGTAGATACAGGGAAGTTACTGGCCATAGGGTCAGAGAGTACTTTGGCTGGTGCCAGCGTGAGAGAGACGCCAGCGAGGCGAAAGGACAGAGTTTGACCTTTGGGGTCAGCCTCAACCGGCGCATTGGAGAATAACAACTGTGACGTGGTCGTGACGTGTTCGTGACGTCACCTCTGCTACTGATCAGGGAACGATCAATATGACTGGTTCCCGCTCATTTGCTGCAATGCTATTGGTCAAATTGTAATCCCTTGTGTGTGTCCCACGAGAGCCTTGAGCCCCAGGCAAGAGGGAGCCCTTGCATAGAAGATGTGTCCTGTTCTGTCTATCGGCCAATTAACAGAAGAACACTGTCTATTCCTCACTGTCAAGTTAAACTCAGCGTCTTTTCGATATACCAACACTTGCCCGGAATTGCGACTGTGACTATATTGTTCAGAAGCCTAAGTGACAAATCACCAGAGCGAAACAGACTGGTATCAGGTAACCCCTGGTGACAAGTGAAGATCGTCTGTGAGTGACCTAGAGTGAACTAAGGCAGTGCCGTGGCCTAAATAATCTGTGTGTGACTTTTACCACAGTGTACCTGCACAGTACCATATAATCACTCGCCGCCAGCCGCCACTGTCTCGAGCATGTAGCCCGCCAGCCGCCACCCTCACTGTACCACGTAACGTCACCACCCTTACTCACCGCCAGTGCCAGTGTGTGTGCGTGTGTCTGTGACATACAGCGCGCCCTCCTGCGAGTACCCCCCCATGTCAAGTACGGTTTGTGGGAAAGCCTGTCGCCAATGGTCTCACGTCAGAACGAGCGCCCAGCTGTCAGGCCATCTACGAGTTCTTGCATAAATGTGCCTGAGTGATTGAGTGAATAAGAGAGGTACCCCACCTATAAGTACAAGATCTTGTCATTGTTTTATTGTGTGTGTTAATCTGAGGGATCAACCACAGTTCTCACCTACTCATACCTGACACAGGTTATAGGTGAAGACACCTGACGGTGTATGCGTGTTTATCTGTGTGGTATCACGGCATTACACTCGTCTGTGAATGTGAGCTTCACATACACCACACATTTAGTTATTGTGTGATATTATTATTGTGCATGTTATTGCCTGTCCCATTGACAGTGCCATTGTTGAGTTATTGCATATCATTACCCGAGTATCCGGTTGGAACTCTTGTAATCCCTTTGCATACCGGCAGTTAGGTTGCCGTGTTAATGATTGGCTGTCATCTGTGTTAAGTTAGGTGTTACTCCACGAGTGGATCTGAGTCGATTAGCCAGACGTCAAGAGTCTTGCTAATGCAACCATAGCCTTTCTGACACCAATCTAAAGTAAATCAAGCACCCTTTGTATTAGTGGTTAAGTTAATAAATAAACTACTGTTAAGCTTTATGCGGTGTTTCCGTTGAACCACTTCTGAATACTGCCAACCATTTACTCAAGCCCTCAGCTCTAGGTGTCTTCAACACCGAGTTGCCAATATTCACTAAACTATAAATGTGATGAGGACCCTAGGAGTCCCTTAAAGTGTTAAATCATTGAGGAGATTCCAACGATCAACGTGGACCAGGACCAGGTGAGGCTAGTCTGAGAAGAGACCCTCAAGGACTCTAACTCGACCTTGCTCTCAGGCCCTGTACGGTTGCTTTCGTATTTTCTATTCTGCTAATTCTGACCGTTTCATGAAGCATCTGCCACATGTACATTGGCGACGTACGCATTGCAGTCGGGAAAGGAAAATAGAAAATCCCAACAGTAGCTAAAGGGAGCCACTAAGGTTTAACCAGAAATTGGCATTTCATTACATTCAACTCTGGTTTTATTACATTCATTCTTTTTTTATACATAATATTGTATATGTTACCTATCTTTTTAAGTCCATGGAAGGACTGCTGTAAGAAAATATAGGTTGTCTCAATAATACTCTCAATTTCTCCATCTCTGTAATTTGAATCATTCCCTGATATGGTCACATTTACAACACAATTTCTTTAAAGATATCTAGTAATTTAACTTGGAAAATATGATTTTTTACAATTGTCAGTTTTGATAACTTCATAATCATTCAGTTGTTTCTTCACTTTGTCCCTAGTTTAACAAGTAGAGAAATATAATTTTAACTAATTGCATTATAATTAAAGGAAAAGTATTAGCTTAATTAGTGAACCGCTCAAAAAGTTCTTCACCAAATATATTCACGTTATAACCAATCGTAAACATTAACAGCCTGAGGATGGAAGAGTCTTCACAAGTTGAAAGTAACATAGACAAACATAACAATAACAGTTCATATGGGTACATAACTTTTGTTAGAAGATAAAACAGCTATTTGGCAAAACCCATCACCTGTAGTTTTTGTATGCATACGTTGGCTAAACTTTACATTATTTGACACGTTTTAAGTCAATTGATTGTAGCATAATTCCACTGTTATAAAATCATCTATCTGATATCTTCCTAGAGTATCATGCTTCACAACTCTGAAAAAATCTTCAAATAACATTGGAAATGTTAAAGGGTCCTGTTAGTACAGTCGGGTTCATTCTCGACTCTCAGTCGAGAAGTCCGAATTTGAATTACGGGCGGGACTGAAATAGTTGGGCATGTTTCCTATCACCTCATGCCCCTGTCCACCAAGCAGTAAATAGGTACTCAGGAGTTAGTCAGTTTGCTGGGTTGCATCCTGGGAAGGGTCAGTAATTTGACCTTGGGGGAACCTCGATATAAGCCTAACATGTACTGCATGTATGAACTGGCTGCCTGTCCCTGAAACAATGAATTATTAATTATGAATTAAATAAAAGAAAACAAGAGGCAACACTCCTACAAAAAATATAGAGGACAAACTTGATAAACATACCCTGTGATAACCACCAGGAAATAAAACTCTCTACTTATCTATGCCAGATTAACATGCGAGGAGTGGCAATTTTGTCATGCAAAAATAAACTACACCCAAATGAAACATTTTTATTATAACCAAATTTTCTTTGGCTTGTTTAAAAATAAAGCTATAGTTCCAAATTTTAATATAACAAAAATTCATGCTTCTTTCTCATTGCTTAAACCCTTAGACAGTGGCTATGGTCATACATAAACATATCTAAAACATATACTGTATATTTTTAATTTGTATGCAAAATGTAAGAAAAACATGAAAATATGTGGATATTTATCATTTTTCTGGGTGGAGATGCCCAGCAAGGCTGGTGTCAACGCCTGGTGCTAGACTTTGCTGACGTTTTGTTTCATCCTCGAATGTTTCACTGATTGTCTTATCACTTGTTTTTCTTTATTTAAATCCACATTTTCATCATACATGTAAAACCCAGACAATAATTGTTTAAATCTTTATTATTTGCCATGACTTATTTGAGGTGCACCGAGACACCTGTAACACCTGGGCGTAAAGCTGAAGCAGTAACAAAAGGGAATGTAAATGAAGATTAAACCACACACACACACCAGAAGATGAGATGACAACGTTTCGGTCCGTTCTGGACCATTATCAACACTTGATAATGGTCCAGCACGGACCAAAACGTCATCTTCTCATCTTCTGGTGTGTGGTTTAGTCTTCATTTCTTCAGCTATATTATTGTGACTCATCATCTGCAATAGGGAATGTTAGAAAATGGGATCCTTAGATTGGTACAGGGAGATGAAGAACTGCAAGCAAAGTATCAGAGCAAAGGGTTTGCACAATAATGCATAATACTAAACACAAATTATTAAGGATTACCCATTGCCACAGAAATGCAGGAAAATCTAACTCTAGACTGCCAGAAGGATCAGGCAATGACTCATAGTGCTCTAAGAAGATATCGAGTGCTGGAATATGACAAGATATATATGCTAATTTATTTAAATAATGCCCACCTTTTCAAACATCAAGAGAAATGTAACATTTGCAAAATACTGTATTCCCAAAACATTTGGTTATGAAGTATTTCCAAACAATTCTTGAAGAATTCAAATCATAAGAAAAAATCTACACACACATCATTAAAGTACGAAAGGCACAGAGGACGTTACTGGTTTATATGAACTTTAAAATGTACATTTAAATAAAGTCAACAGAATAGACATGATGAAGTGTTATAAAATATGAGGAACCAAGCAGGTTAAGTACTCAACAACAGACCAGATTAAATTTTAACATATGCATGTGTCGCAACACCATAATTGTACTTGGAAAGCAATGTTTATGAAGAAATTGTGTAGGAGAGGGAGGTGAAACAGCAATACTGTAAGTGAGTTTTGGGGATGAGGTTAATGGTGTGATAGGCATGACAAGTGAGCCCAGGGTTCATATGCTAACTTGTTCTCAAAAACTTGCACCACTACAGCATTAAGGTTTTCAGTGCTTTAGTCAAATTAAAAGCACCAAAGACTTTATATTTTGGTCTAATGAGCATTGGCCTTTATACGTTTGGTGGATTGCCTAAAGGTGGATTTAGGTGGATTTTCCCACTTCTGGGTGGGAAAACCACTTTCATTTTATGCTTTTCAAATTGTGAGAACAATTGGCATATAAAATGAAATATGGTTTGGAAGCATTTGTGTATGGAGAATAAGAACTAATTATTTTAATAAAGTTTTTAGAAGGTATAATGTGTTCATCAGTACACAATATGTTGGAGTAAGTTTAAAAAAAAAATAAGTGCAATGCAGTATACAGATTGGCTTGGGCTAACCACAATACAATTTTCTTAAAGAAAAAAACCTAGGAGCAACGAGTTGAAATATATTTTCAAAGTATTATAAAGACAATGTTAATTTGTGGGTTAAAGTATAATGAAGAAATTAGTTTTTTTTTTTTAAGAAGAAGAAAGCGTGTGAGTGAAGTTAGTGTGGTGAGGAGATGGCGGCACAACTGAAGGAGGAGAATAAGGAAGGTGATGTTGCCAAGATATCTGGAGAATAACACGAAACAAAGTCATAATGCTTGCTGCTTATTTATCATATCACTATTACTCTTCATACAGCACCAATATTAAGAAAGCTTGTCAATTACACAAATGAACAAACTGGTCTTGTATCAGAGTAAATCCAACCATTTGATATGAAAGTATTTCAAAGAAAATAAAGGCTGAACAAATCCTTCATATTCTTCAAGCTGACTTGAACAGGTGTACATTAATATTACACAGCTGGTGAGAAAAGTCAATGTTTGTACTCGTTAAACATACATTTATGTCACATTTCTGAAATTCAAAATTTTGGCAACATGGACAAGGGCCACAGTGTTTCCCTTACATTGTATTGGTGCATAACACAAATATAACATCTTACATAAAGCCATGTTATAATCTGCCCAATTTCCTGCCCATATACACGGCAGAATCACTAACAATGAATTTACTACAGTAATAACATCAAAATAATTTATAAGACTATTTTTAGTACACTAAATATGTTTTCAGATTATGAAATAAAACTTTGGTTTGTGCAGAATGTTATCCTTGAACACATGACTCTAAATACATCTAATTTTAAAATAATCATCTCCTGTAAACCATTATCAATATGATAAAGCCATTCAAAAATGGAATTATGTATACAAATAGAATTTGGTTTTATCACATCTGACATTAAATACAACCATTATCACAAGAGTGACTGTCAGGAGCTCAAAAGCACTGTCTCAAGCCCAACACAATATAAACAAAACAATAATTTTTTATATTTTTAAATTTTAAATACGTAGCCAACATGAAAAATCCTTTAAAAAGGTTACCTATACTGTAAATACTATTAAGAAATGTTACCAATACTGTACATACAATTAAACAAGTTACTAATACTGTACTATAAATTTACCATTTACAAATATACAGAAAATTTATTTTCTATGCCCCACCACTGAATGTAAATAGTAAAGCTAAACAAGACAGTAACGAAGAAGGGGACTCGAGGAACACAACATACCAATACAAGTCAACTCAATTTACAAGAACACAATGTTGCACTCAAGTACTGCAACATCAATGTAAGTAGCAGAGGCAGCCTTGGTGAACACAGTCGAGGTGAAAACTTGCAATTCAAAAATGTTGGCAACAAAGTTAGACAAAAAATGCCTATGAACAGAAGCAGTCCTATTGAATTTTATTATCAGGAGTCCATTTCCATATCTGCAGCTTCCACACACAAGGATGTATCAAGAGATCCAGGTACCTGAAAGTGATACATGATGAGTGACCTACAAGGGACTCAAAACCTAGTTTTAATTATACACACACAAAATGATTATGCAACAAGACTTTCACAAAGTGAGAAAAAATTACTTCATCAAATAATGCATGAAAGATAATCTTAAAAACAAAACAAAAGCAGGGTTGAATGTAATGAAACACCATTTTCTGGGTGAGACCCGGAGGCTCCCTGGAGCTATCCATGCTGATGTGAATGTATTAGACAGTGGCATCACTCAAAGCGAATGGAGTTCTTAGGCCTACCGGGGACCATGAGCCAGAATCTGGTCCCCCTCAAAGAGGCATGAGGAGCAATTGCCTATAGTAACCCCCCTGTGTGGTTGGAAGCATTCTATATCTGCCATTGACCGGGTCAGGTACCCAGAAAGGTAAGTGCCCCAAAACAAACCCCTAGTCTGGTTAAGAAATTGCTACTGAAAGCTGAACTAGTGGACAGAATTAGCTAAATAAAAGCGAGCAAACGAGCATGACGTCACCACGTAACTGCCCCACTATCTGTGCAGCTTCCCCCTCCCTAAGGGAGAGCCCCCAAACCCTCGCACCAACTATCCACACCTCAGTTCTGAGGCTGGATGTCAAAAACACTCGAAAAACTGCCGACCTACCGAGGGAGGGTTGCCAGGGAGCTTCCGGGTCCCACCCTTAGAAAATGGCGTTTCATTACATTCAACACTGGTTTTCTGGGGAAAGCCCCTTTGGCTCCCCGGAGCTACTTACCCAAAGACAAAAACAGGAGGGACTTACCCAGGACGCGGTCGGCACTCGCTCCACAACTTGAAGTCGAGACAACTGGCTGCAACCGTCGACCCAATGCGACAACACACGATGCATCCCTGGCCGAATCAACCAAGCAGCAACAACCCAAGGACTCTTCCAAAAGTAGCAGTCTCATTCTTCACCAGAGAAGGAGATGGTCGCAAACGAACAAACCTACCACCAGCACTGAAAGAGCAAAAACCCAAGTGCTGGAGGAGAGCATGAAGCTCCTTGACCTGACCCCCCCCTCCCCAAGAGGCCATTGCCAACAAGTCTTGGAGAAAAAATCCTGAACTGAAGGGGCCACCACAAACCAAGGGAAAGAGAGAAAAGAGAGCACCTTATACAAGGACCAGGACAGTTCAGGCAGCGCATGAGCAGGCCGGAGGTGAAACAAAGCCCGAGACAGCTTGCAGAATGGAGCCGAAGTAACATCAACACTGAATGCAAGCTGCAACGGCTCTGCCAGCGCCGCATGATACGAGGCGACAATATTCGGCAAAGATGACGGTCCCGAATCAGCCACAAAAGAAGAGACAAGACAACCTGAATAGTGCCAGTATCCACTCGATATAACGGCTTATATGGGGCTGTACCCTGGTCGTTATTTCCGGAGCTCCGGTATTTCCGAAGTTAAGTGTTTTTTTTTTCAAGTAACATTCAGGTAAGATATATTTTGTACAGACTGCCACTTGGTCCACCAGTCTTATGCTTTCTACCTTGTGATGTCACAGATTCATGGCACATTGTTTTGATTTGTCAAGAGGCTGGAGTGTTCATTCCGTGACTTTGTTGTACATATCTGCACAATCAAGAAACATCTGTTCACTATTTTGGCTCCAAATGCACTCATTGTGTCAGTGATGGCTGACTGGTGAGTGGATGGGCAGGCAGGCGAGGATGGAGAGGCTGAAATGTAGGCAGGCAGGCAGGGAAAGGCTCGGAGGTAGGCAGGGAGGGAGAGGCAGGCAGGCAGGGGCAGAGGTAGGGAGAGAGAGAATGGAGATAGATGGAGGGATGGATGGATGGATTGGTGGAGGGATGGAAGGATTGAGGGAGGGATGGAGAGAGGAAGGGAAGGAGGGATGGAGAGAGGAAGGGAAGGAGGGAGGGAGGGAGGGAGAGATGGAGGGAAGGAGGGAAGGAGGGAGGGAGGGAGGGCGAGATGGTGGGAGGGGGGGAGGGAGGGAGGGCGAGATGGTGGGAGGGGGGAGGGGGGTGAGGGGGTGAGGGGGGGAGGGAGGGAGGGAGGGAGGGAGGGAGGGAGGGAGGGAGAGATGGATGGAGGGATGGGTGTTGAGTTGAGCAGAGAGTGTATGGGTGTAGGGAGGGGGGGCAGGTGGGGGAGGTGTGTCAGTGGTGGGGGAAGAGACCGGGTCACTGCTAAGCCTAACACTTGACCCAGTTAACCAGATGTTTCTTAAATAAATTCTGGATATACATCATCATTTATATTTTTGGTTGCAGATTTTGTTTAGTAATATTATTAGGATAATAAAAAGTTATAAAATACTTGTTTCATAAATGCTTTCTTGTATTAGATGGAGATTCTCCAGGCTGTGGCTGGCTGGCAGTCTACTGAGCCATTTTCCAGAACGGTCTTGGGGGGGGGGGGGGGGGGGGGGGTGAGGCAGGAGGAAGTGAGGCTGTGGGGAAGAGCAGGAGTGAGGGAGTGGGGGAGAAGTTCAGTGAGGGAGTGGGGGAGAAGTTCAGTGAGGGTGAGAGAGGGGACGATAGAGGTAGGCGGCCTGCTTGCCACGTGAAGACCCCCTAATGCCAAAATAAACCCAATACCGACCTTCAATAATATCGACCGCCAGACCGTTATATGAGGCTCTAAATATTGGTCTCCCAAACTGGTCGTTATTACCGGCAGATCGGTATAAAAGAGGCCATTAAATTGAGTGGATACTGTAAACTAACGAAGGGACAAGAAATAACGGAAGGACCGCCAGGAAACTTCGTACTACTGTTGAGACGAAGCAGACAGGTGGGACACCAATAACAAAGCCACCTGCTCACCATAGAAGTGGTGACAGACTTGAGTCAGAAAAGACCATATGCAAATATTCAAGAAAAAGATCGAACCAGCCTCATAACAGACTGGTCTGATCTGCTGAAAGAGGCGGAGCTGTGGGAAGACCCCCGGGTTTGGACACCGAGCAAGCAGTGCCTGAAACCAAGGCTGAGCCGGCCACCAAGGAGCCAAGAGGACTATTCTCCCTTCGTAAGTCTCTAGGTGAGCTAGGACCAGGAGCAACAGCTGAACCAGGGAAAAAAAGAGATACAGAAAACCCCACCTCGACCAGTTTTTCCGCAAGGTATTAACCTCGACGGCCTCGCAGTCCGTGAAGGGTGCCATGTATACCACGAGACACATCGACCACATCAACATGAAGGGGTCCACTTCCAGGAGCCCATAAGTCTGCCAGAGCCAACTGAAGAGTCTGCGTCGAGTATCCATTCCGTGGACAAGGGAATGAACTGAGACAGGCCGTTCACATGGACGTTGGACGCTCCCCAAGCTCCCGGACGTGAACTGCCAAGAGAGCCAAACCCTGAGAACTCAGCAGACAAGTCACCCGAAGCAACGAGCCCCAAAGAGTCAAGGACCGTATCGAACCCCCCCTCGGTTCAGGCAATGAATCACCAGGAAACAGTCCGAATGGAGCTGGATCGTCAATCTGCAAGCAACCTGAACCCTCTGAAGTGACTCCCACACCGCCTTAAACTCCCGCACTGTGCTGTGGGCCTGACGGAAGGACGGACCTCACTGCCCAAGCCGGCCTGGTGAGCACTGGTAAGAAGCCCCAGCCAAGATGATGACTTGTCCGTGAAGACATCGAGCGAGGGGCTTGGGTAGGCACCAAGGCACTGATCCCTAGAAAACCTGAAGAGGAAGCCTGCGATGCAGCAGCCAATGCAAGGCCCCCAGAGGCCAAACCCAGCAATCACGAGAGAGGTGGAAGGGACGTACCCGGAGGCCGAACCCAGCGATCGCGAGAGGCGTCCTCTCGCCTCTCTCGTCCGAGGGGAGAGGGGAAGGGACGTCCCCGAAGGAACCAGAACAGCCGACAAAGCCAAACCCGACCCGGCGGGTAGACCATCACGGCAAAGTTCAGGCTCCCACACAAACTCTTGAGCAACCGCCAGGTGACCTGGGAGCCCCTCAGAAACAGGCAGAGATGGGACTGCAGCTGAAGCAGTGACTCCGGTAGGAGAGACAAGGAAACGGCCCGAGAGTTCCATCCAATACCGAACCTGAGAGGGAACCAGATGGGATTTCCGCCAGGTCACCAGGAACACGAACCCAGTGAGCTGGTAACAGACCCCTGGCAAGCAGACATGCGCACTGGCTGGGAGCCCCACCAACCAATCATCGGGATAGGCCAGAACCCGAAAATCTAACAGACGCAGACGGGCCACCACGACCCGGGTAAGGCGTGTGATCAAGTGAGGCACCAGGTTTAACCGAATGGAACCCAATGAAAGCCGTAACCAAGATGCCCCACAATAAAACCGAGCCAGTCCCTGAACCCAGGATGAATCGGGACGCACGAAGACGAGTCCCCAAAGGTCCAGGGGACACCAACCAAGCGCCTGGTTTCAAAAGAAACTGGACCTGGGACAAAGGAGTCATCCGAAAGGAAGGGCAATAGACCCAGGGGTTCAGATGGGACAAGTCCAGAATGAACCGCAGGTCTGCACAGTCCAGTTTCCTGACTGGGAACAGGAGGGAATCCCACCTGAGGACGGAGATGTTTCGACCACGCCCAAGCTAACCCATTCCAAGATGACCAGACAGGGCGCAGGAGAAGAGGCCCGTCCTGCCAGCCTCAAACCCCCCCAAAGGAGGTGGAGCCACCCAGCACCATTACAGGCAATCGGAAATGACCCAAAAAAGCCCACAAAATGTGAGACCAGGCATGAATGAACAGAGCGAGCCTCTCCCCCAATGCCCCCATTAACGGGGCAAACCGTGAAGGGCCGATGTTCCTTGCAAGAACCCAACTAAAGCATAGAGCAAGCACCACGCCAACCAGGCGAAGATGGATTCGAAGGCAGCACTGGCCCTGAACCGGCACCACCAGCCTACCTCGACAAGAGGACCCCGAGCCCAGGCACGACCCCTCCAGGAAGAAGAACCCCCCTTTCTCCCAGAGAACCAACAAGTCTGACATTTGATGGCACTAGAAGAAGCTGCCT